GCTGGTCCTGAAACTGAGAAAAGGTCTTATCACTTAAGATCTGTGTCACTGATCCAACGGTCCAATCATTGAATCATTTATTATAGCACAAATGGTTATGATAAAACTAGAATTTCCATCATCCGGTGGCTGTTATCTTAGTGGGTCAAGTGTGGGCAGAGCAAGGCTAAGGGACTGTGAAATGCCAGAAGGACAATCCATAATAATTCCGTGAAAGAGGCTGTCCAGGTACGGTGTTTCTAAACAAGGATTATGGGTGGTGGACACAGTCATTGCAGGGTGCCATTAGATGGCGATGCAGGATGGTGCTTGATCATAAACGGAAAGGATCCTGTTCGGAGTGATCCCCCTGAAAGCCACCCTTTGGGGCAAGCAGCAACACCCCAGCTTAGCTCCAAAGAAGCTATGTCTAGTTTGAGTCCCGAGCAGGGTCGGGCTGGTTCGCGATTTCCTGTATGTCCTCTGACCGCCAAAAAATAGATCACATAAGCCGTGCCAATGTCTGCCTCTGATCACACCCTGAGTCAATTAACGCCTAAAGTGAGACCGAAAACCATCGTCCCTTTTGAGTCCCATGTTGCACAGAATCAAACTTTCTGTTCCCGTTCCACGATTTCATCCTGGAAGGGCCTCGGGTAGAAAACACTGAAACCAAAGCAAACCCCACTGTCAATTCCTGGAAGGAAGGGAAAAAGGAGAAAAAGACAGTCGTTTATTTTCTGCTTTCCTTCTAGGAGTGTGGACCCCTACAGACACTTTTTGGGTCACTGTCCCCCGTTCCTTGGTTGTTATTGATCAACCTCTGGGAAAAATGGATGCGTGAGGACGACAAGATGAGCTCGGGAGAGAAATTCCCACCCATAGCAGCTCTCATTCATCTTTGCATTTCCTCCCATGAAGTAGTTTCATAAATAATCCCAGTAACAGGAAAGCCATTTATACTTCTTGGCGGGCTTCTACAGAGATAAATAGCGAATAATTCCTATTATGAGGACAATTACACTTCACATCTTTGTTTCCCGTTGGGAAGAGTAATACCAAGGGAAAAGGGGGGGGATATAGTGACATCTGTACAAAGTTGTGCTTTAACTTCCCATCCTGTTGGTTCAAGAGATCCATGTTTTTCTGTTCTGAACTCCGACGTTCTCTGTTCTCACATTTTCTCCTCACAAAGGTGGCGGAGCAAAGTTCTCCGAAGGCAAGAGTCCTAACACGGGATAAAGATGTTCACCAGCTGTTATTCCAGATGGGACTGGACAGACTGGAACATGATCCCCAGGAAGGGTTAGGAAAGACTCAGAGAACCGGGCCAGGTTAGCCGGGAGAATAGACGATGGAGGGGAGATAGGATCGCACCCTTCCAAGATGTTAAAGGCTGCCCTTCAGAGGAGGGGCAGGATCTGTTCGCCATCATCCCAGAGTGTAGAAGACGTAACCATGTGCTCAAACTGAAGCCAGATTTCGGTTGAATGTCAGGAAGAAAGTTCTTACCTGTTAGAACAGTATGAGGATGGAACCGATTACTTCAGGTGGGGAGCGCTCCAGTGTTGGAGGCATTCAAGAGGAAACGGCCCACCCATCTTCAGATCCACTTTGACTTGGATTCCTGGACAGATTAGGGGACTGGATTCAATGGCCTTACAGGACCTTTCCAACTCCAGGAGTCTATGATTCTAGTCCCACATGGTGGAAACACAAGCTTTGTTGTTGTATAGTCTTTTAGTGGTGTCCAACTCTTCGTGACTCCGTGGACAGGGGCACGCCAGGCCCTCCTGCCTTCCACTGCCTCCTGGAGTGGGATCAAATCCATGTTGGCCGCTTCGGTGACCCTGTCCATCCATCTCGTCCTCGGTCGTCGCCTTCTCCTCTTGCCTTCACACTTTCCCAACATCAGGGTCTTTTCCAGGGAGTCTTCTCTTCTCATGAGATGGCCAAAGGATTGGAGCCTCAGCTTCCATCTCAGGTGAACCGCCTCTGGAGTCCAAGTCGGGTCCCGAGTGCGACTTCAGTCCAGCCTGAGACTCGAGCCCCCTACCTGGCAGCCTTTCTCCAGCCCCCGTTTTCCTCTTCAGAGCAACCCTGCGCGTCCAGGCATGCAGAGAATGAGCGAGAGGGGAGAGGCGCCCCCTCCACACTTTATTCAGGGGATTTCCTGGCTCAGTGGGTCTCTGTAGGAGGCTTCTTTCCCCCCCACCCCCACCCCGAGGGTCTGAATCTGGCCAGGGATCTTCCGGGCGTTGAGCTGCAAGAGGACGGGGAGGTCTTTCCCGCCTGACCTTCAGCCCCGGGTGCCGTTCTCTCCGTCTCCGCGCAGAGTTCTGCAGGCGAGTCCGAACCCTGGGAAAGGGAGAGGATCCTGCTCATGGGCAGAGTGCCCACCCAGGCAGGAAGGCCTCCCCAACCTCTTTGAGAAGCACAGGGAGCAGAACTCTGGAAATGATGCCTGAGGACAAAGCGATGGGCGGGATCGGGGGGGCCAAAAGTGGGGAGGGGGGCGTCCTCCTATTTGAGTGTGTTTTCCCCACCCCGTGTCTCCTTCTGGAAGAGAGAAGGGGGGAAGCACTCCCTTGTTCAAGTTGAGGAGGGTCACCGGGAAAGGAAGGCGAGCATCCGACAGAGAGGCCACCCGATCTCCCTGCACATGTGGTGAGTTAG